CACTTCTATCAATAAGATGGCACCTGGTATATTCAAAACTATCCTTGCGCGAGAGCAGGAATTCAAATCCGGAGACGGGCAATGATGTAGCTAAGCGAAGCAAACACAGGATGAACATAGGGATGGATGCTAGCAGTTATGCAACAGAACATAGGTCTGGTGGAATCACATGTACGTGCGAGAGAAAGAGGGGGGAGGAGACCGAAGGGGCAGAGAGGGGAAGGAGGGGACCGAAGGGAACAAAGGGGGAGAGGGAGCAGAGGGAACGAGGGGAGAGAGTGGAGAGGGGAGACAGGAGAGAGTGGGAGGGAAGTGAGAGGAGTGAGGAGAGAGGAGAGAGGAGAGAAGGGATGAGAGGGGAGAGAGGGGAGGGAGAGAGGAGAGGAATAACAAACGAGAGGATGGAGGAGATTTGAAGAAAGAGAGGAGGGTAGAAATTAGAGAACGGACAAAAATGAGATAGAGACACGAGAAAAAGGGAAATAGAGAGTGGAGAAAACGAGAGGAGAGAGGAGAAACATAAAGAAGGGGAGAGGAGAGAAAAGAGAATGTTCTTTTTTTCATAGAGTCAGAGGCCATCCAGTGGCTAGCAAATCAGTAAGGGGAACAGTGATATCCTGCTTTCATCGCAGATTGAGGATGTAATGCTATCACCTCAGAAAGAGGAAGAGGGGAGAGAGGGAGAGAGCGGAGAAGGGAGAAAAACGAGAGAAAAGAGAAAGGAGGGAGGAAAAAGTGGAGAGTACAGAGCAGAGAGGGGAGAGGGAGAAAACAGGAGAAAGGAGAGAAATGAGATATTGAAGAGAGAACAGAGAACAGAGAGGAGAAACAAATGACAGCATAGGCAACAAAGGCCAGACGACAAGCGAGGAGTGAGGAGAAGAGACTAGAGAGAGGTGAGGAGGCGAAAGACAGGACAGACGAGGATGGACGGGAGGCCAGAGGGAGGAGAGAATAAGGGAGGCAGCATTTTTTTTTTTTCAAAGAGACGGAAGAGAGACATCAAGGAGACCCTTAATCCAACTGCTCAGATTGCAGGCTTCCAGTGGCTGGCGATTTGATGAAGTTAACAGTGTGATACTATGATGCCATCAGAGTTTGCGGAGGTAACCGTATTGAATACTTCATAGACGTGCACAAATGTATGCCAACTTCAGTTGTTAAGTAGAAAAGGTAAGAAAAAGTCAATGATACACCGAGGACAGACAGCGTGTGCAAAAGAGATATCTTCAGTGGTTAAGAACAAAAGGTAAGAAGAGGTAGACGATACACCAAGGACAGACAGCGTGTGCACAAGAGAGATCGAGAGCAAGAAATGTATGCGGTTCCTGCGTACAGGCATTGAGCTCTGTGAGTCATCAGCAGTCATACAGAGCTTCAATCCAACCCTTGCATAGAAGAAAAGGAGAAGCGGGAAGACGATACTGGTACCGTGGGCGACGACTGGAAAGGTCCCTTGTCAGCTGTAGTAATAGCAAGTGGAGGTAAGAGCAAATAACAGGGAGGTAGACAGCAGTAGTGAATGCCGCAATTTCTATGCCGGCATAGATTTGGGTGTGTCATCAACAGTCTCTACACGTTTCCAGCCAGCGCGATAAGAGGAGAGAGGGGCAGTAAGGCACAGAGCACTTTTCACACTGAAGAAAGACTCCGTAGAGGCATGGAGGGAGCGAGTAGTTCTCCAGAATGAGGGTGCAATGATAGCTGCAACAACGCCCGCCACAGCAGCACAAGCAGACAGGAGAAGAAGACAATGTAATGGCATAAAAAACAGAGGCGATGCAGGAGCCGTTTTCCTAGTCCCAAACATGCATTTGCTGCCTTGATACATAGCAGACCTGGTGCTACCCTGACCACAGTACACAGTCCCGTCTTGACCAGAGGAGCAGTACACAAGATCCAGATAGCATGCAGCAGTAGCAGGGAAGTCCGTGAAGAAACCGTCCACTCCCACCTCCTCCACAAAGAGACCGTATTCCTGGAACGGATCTTGTCCATAATCGAAAGCCAGGAACACGTATTCATTCCTGAAGACCCAAGGATGGACCTGGAGGTGCCGTGCATGGGCTTCTTTGACAAGATCTGAGATTTTCCCCAACTTGTTGGTTGTCCTGTTCACAGGAGCAATCAAAACCTTGTTTGGACCAATCGCATCCGCATACGTCCTGATTTCATCAAGTGCTTCTCCCACAGACTTGTGTGAACCGCGCAGTTGATCTGGCCAATGCTCGGCAAGCAGCTGGACTAGAGGGACAGTTGTTTTACCACGCAGGTACTTAAGGCTAGCGTCATCGAAGGACTCAACGAAACCACCCCGCCCAGACCAAACCCCATCACTCTTCACAAGGCCCTTGCGTTTTAATACTTCCAGCAGTTCATCCTCCATCTTCTTCTCCACGCCCACCCTCAGCTCATGCCATCGTGGCCGCTTCGTCTCCACATAAAAACCTATTTCCCGCCCCCAAGAGCCTGTCAGCAACAGGTCCAGGTACTCTTCCAGTGTCGGGATATGAAATTGCCCATCACAAGACCCATCCCGAAAGCTCAGCCTCTGGATAGCTCTCAGGCGCTTGATCTCATCTAATGTGAAATCTACGGCGAAGTAGCCTGTTACATTCTTCCCATCAATCTCATAGGTCTTCCTCTTGCTCGCAAATTCAGGAATCATGGCCACATTTGTCGTGTTCGACATATCTGGCTCATGCCTACATATCAACACCCCATCCTTCGTCAACACCGCATCACATTCGACGAAATCAGCTCCTTGTAAGATGGCCTCGCGATAAGCCTCTAAAGTATGCTCCGGGAGCACTCCCGATGCACCACGATGAGCAACGATCAGCGGAGGCTTGTCGCCATGAGGCCCACCATTCATGCCCATTCTTGTCTGTCTGTGGAACATTGATGATGCCGACGAACAGCAGGCCATGACAGCCATATACATTCCCAAGGCACTGGCCCACGCGATGACGCCATGGTTCATCTTATCCAACAACATGTATAGGCAACTGATAGCAGAGGAACTTCGTCAAACGGGCAGGTATGCTCCGGAGTCCTGCCAGTCCTGTCAGATTGCCAGCAGGTTCCACTACACTGCCCGTCGTCACATGGGCGGCAGATGCGTCTGGGATTCGCTCTCACCAGCAGACAGCTCCAAGCCTTCCTCCCCGCGCAGCAATGTCACGAGTGGGTGCAATCGAAACGCTCTTATCAGTTCGCTTTGCATTGAAGTTCATGTTCTTTGTCCCCTTCTAGGCATTCCATTCTCTCAAAGGCTGTCCGAGAATCTAAATTCTGAATGTGTAGGGTTCAGAGTCTGTGCTTCTTGAGTTTCTTGTGTGTCGAGGCTCTTGTCTGATTTTATTTTCCACTCTTTCTACCATCTATGATCAAATAAGTCGATGACATCAATGAGCCACTGTCATTTGATTTATTTTCACTTGAAAACGTTTGCGCTGCATGATCCTTGCTGAATCTTTCAACACGTCATTAGCCAACCGGACATGACTTGTTGGATTTTGGGGAGACTACAGTTCAAACCACCAGTGCAGCTGGATCTATCTGTACGAACTGACCCGCCGGCCTGCCCCGCCTGAAACGTCGCTCCTACCAGGTCAAAACCAATTTTGAACGACATACACATTTGGTTAGGTGCAGATATTTCTTTCATGTGCCAAAACGTTTTTGTTTGTTTTTCGATTTTTTCCCCTAGTGCGGAGTAACCTAAGCAACACACCTGATTTTCACCTGATTTTTTTGTTAGCAGAAATAAGAATTAACAATCTCCAAAGGCCGGGTACTCAAAATTTTGCAACCCCTCCCCCCCTCTCCTCCCCCCCCCCCCGGTAACCCCCTCGGGTCAGGGCAACCGAAGCTGGTTTCTAAACCACCAGTCCATCCGAAGCGAAATTGTCGAGCCAAAAGAAAAACATTTTGTGAAGCCTAAGAGTGACCACCAGTACTGGCCATTGAAAAAAAACAACACAGTACTGGTGCCGGTCTCTGTATGATTGAAAAGTCTACATCTCCCATGGACATCTTGGGGCCCGAACTTACTGTTCATCTGTTGCTGTACTGGCCCTCAGCCGAACAGCCCAGGGGCGGTACTCGTATACGAAAACGGATGAACGGTAACTTAGGATGGACTGGTAGCTTAGGACCAGTCCCCTTCGTCCAACCGCCCTCCCTCTCTTTGTTTTAGGCTATGCGAAGTGCGCTGCACGCAAGGCAACCGGATTTTCCAAGAGTGTGGCCGTTTATGATCAAAACATGTCCACAGACGAGCTTCACCAAACAAAAAATGATGGGTAGGCAATCAGTGTGGAAAGAAGTCTTGCTAGAGGACCTACCAGCCCTCGCAAAATTTCAAGCCCCAAAAGTTCGGAGTGCTAATAGATCATTACGAGACTTTTTTTTGTGCACATACATCCAATATTTCTTTGGAGCGCATGCAATGCACAGTTCAGCCCAAATGTGTATGGCCCAGAAAGAGTTACAGAGAGGCCGAAGCAAGTTCACACACGTCAGCAACAGACAAGGTATCCCAGTCGGCATGCATGTGGGCAACACAGGGCGTCAGATGCAGGTCATGAACCTGCACATGTCCAAGCACGGACCTACACCCCCTCCAGAATGAGACTCGAGGCATACTCACCCTAGGGACGTTTTTGACAAAGATCTGGACGGGATTGCAGTCAGATTCATCCAGGTCTAGGTGTGATTGCAGTCAGATACATCGAGGAAAGCCAGAGTGTGAGTAAGTCCTCAGACAGGCTCACATTCACAACCACACATATACACATACAACACAGAGGGAACACACAAACTTACCCACACCAGCACACACATTCACCCCTGCACGGCTCACGCCTCTGAGCACACATGCACATCCTAAGATCTTCTGTAAAACTTCAACAAACCTCCAGCCATGAGGTAGCATCTGTAGGTTTGCTACTCGCACACATAGAGCACTTATTATTTTGGTCCTTACTATCTTTGATACAAAGTGACCAACACATCCTGCTGCCTTCAAAGAAGGATTTCTACTAGAAAATAGTAAACAGAAAATGAAGAGAGATCGCTTGCTGTCAACGAGCAGTCTCATCTCATCATCCACCTCCGGAATGTGGTTCACCTCACCAGGTGTAAGGCATCGTAGGCTTATGACCAACACTGTTTGGTAGCTTGCTGCAAATAAATCTAGTCCTCATCCCAAGTCTTCTCTCTCTCTCTCTCTCTCTCTCTCTCTCTCTCTCTCTCTCTCTCTCTCTCTCTCTCTCTCTCTCTCTCTCTCTCTCT